ATAAATAAATAAATAAATAAATAAATAAATAAATAAATAAATAATAAACAAGAATTGGTAGTGAAAAAATTACAGGAAGTTGAAGTTTTTAAACATAAGCCAGGTCCTGACTGCAAGATTCTGGTGAGCAAGGACATTTGCTGAGAAATGTGTCAGAGTGTGTGGTGATCCATGAGCACCATGAGTTTTGTGCTTTGCCTGTCACCTGATCGACCCCTGCCACCCCGTCAAAGAGCCTGCTGACTAGATTGCTGAGAACAGCCAGTGAAAATCACAGTGGCACACTGTAATCAAGAGAGATATCCAGTGCAAAGAATACCACTGTCCCCAATCATAGCCATATCTACCTGTGTCTCACTTAAGGACATCAGATCTTCTTGCTTGGCTTATCTTAAGAGCAGGGAAGCCTCCAAATGCCACTCACCCCTGCTCACTTACCTGTTGGAGACTATGCCCCCCAGATTCACACGCTGAAGTCCCAAGCCCTAGTGCCTCAGCATGTGAGTTTATTTGGAGACAGGGCCCTTAAAAAGGTGATTAAATGAAGTCATATGGGCAGACACTAATCCAACATGACTGATGTCCTTAGAAGAGATCAAGGCACACACACACACACACACACACACACAAGACATGTGAGGACCAGGAGAAAGTGGCCATGTAGAAGCTAAAGAGTCTTAGAAGCCACCACTGTTGCCAACATGATCCTTGGACCTCCAGCCTCCAGCTGTGAAGAGATACAGTTCTGCTGTGCACACCACCGTCAGTAGGCTTTGCTATGGCAGCTCCAGCCAGCTAGCATATAGTCCCATAAATCTGCCTCAGCCCTCCTCCCATCCACTCAAGCCTATTCAACTTGCCCTCACAGCCTCTGACAGGGCCTAGCTTCCTGAAGTCCTCATTCACCACATCCCATACAGCAGAGCCCTGACCACCTGCCATCTTATCTTGTCTTTCTTTCAAAAGGGCAGAAGGAAGTCTCCCAACTCGTGCATGTGGAGGTCAAGGGAGGACATTGGGTGCCCTGCTTTATCAAAAGGACAGAAGAAACTCTCCCACCCCGTGCATGTGGAGGCCAAGGGAGGACATTGGGTGCCCTGCTTTATCACTCTGTGCCTTATTCCCAGGAGACAGGGTCTCTCACTGAATCTGGAGCTAGGCTGACGACTAGGAAACCCCCAGTAATCCTCTTGTCTCCCCTGCACACACGCAATGCTGGGGTCACAGGTATGCACACAAATAACCATGGGTTCTTAGGATTTGAACTCGGGTCCTCATGCTTGTACAGCAAGCATTCCTACCCACTGAGCCATCTTCCCATCTCACAAGCCTGAGGACTTTGGTGAACATCATCATATTTTTTTTTGAGACAGGGTCTATGTATCCCAGCTGGCGTTAAACTTGCTGTGCAACTGAGGATGACCTTGAATTCCTGATCCTCCTGCCTCCACCTCCTTGCGCTAGGATTACAGGTATGTGTCATAATGCCCAACCTGTCACAATAATATTTTTTAAGGATTCTAGGTGCAGTGAACCAATGGTAGGCTAAAATCAGACAAGTGACCCACTTAGCACATCACAGCCTCTGTTCTCTGAGTGACACAGACTCATGCCAGCTGAGAGCCACCGGGAGTCAGGAACATTAGGCCTCAGAGCAGAAAGATGTTCATTTCCTGCTAACTCATGAAACACTTCTCTAGGCTATAATTAGCTCTTGGTTTTTGTTCTTTGTTGTTTTCTAGATTGGCTGACTACCTTTGTTGGGAGCCAGTAGTACAGCTGAGCCTGAATAAAGACAAGAGCCTTACACAGCAGAAGCACTGTAGGAGGACAGCAAGCGTTCATGGTGATGTATTGCTGCTGTGTGTTGAAACTGCCCAAGCTGAGGCAAGCAAAGCGCCATTGCTTCCAGGCAGGCCTCCTCCCTCCCAGGTACAGTGGCAGCTGCAGCAAGCGCCAGATCCTGTGCTGTATAGACATTACATAATGGCGGTGTATAGTTACAGATTTATACTTACGTTCCTTATCTGTCACACAGAAGTTTCCAGATAGGCATTGCTAGCTCTATTTTTTTGCATTCTGGGATAACCTTCCCCAACTTTCATACCAATCCACCATAATTTTTTTTTTTTTTTTTTTTTTTTTTTTTTTTTTTTTAGGAAAAGGGATTGAGCCTGAGAGAAACGAAGTGTCTTGCTTCAGAGCCTCAGATGGGAAAGAATAGAAGCAGCTTAGACTCATATTCTCTCCACACAAACAAGCAGAGGCTTTACCTCACAGGAGGGGGCTCTTGCAGGTAGTACTCGGCGTAGTGAAGACCCAGGTGACACAGGGTCTGCCAGCTCATCTGAAAGAAGAAGGTCAGCCTGTGGACTTCCTGTGCGCCGAGTGAGGAGACCAGAACCCCAGCACAGAAGGCAGGGGTGAGGACGAGCAGAGAGTAGGAACCCATGGCAGCCGAGGCCAGGGCACCGCCTCCAGCCAGGAGAAAGAGGTACCTGAAAGGAAAGGGACCTCGAGGTGACACCTAGGACAGTGCGGCAGGCAGATCACTGCAGAAATCATTCCAGGGACCCAGTCCGACACTAAAAAAGCCATGCTGTCACATGACTCTTGAGAGTCAGAGCCCAGGTCTGCTGCTTGCAAACTACTACCTCAGGACCCAAATCTTGGCTCCTCCTTTGGTGGCTCTGATGACGCTTTCATGTCCCTCCATCCTATGGGTAGCTGCCATCACTGCCCCTAGTGTGTTACTAAGTAGTCTGGAGTGTTTTTCAAATTTATTTATTTATTTATTTTTTAAGACCAGTCTGGCCTCGAACTCAGAGATCCATCTGCCTCTGCCTCCCAAGTGCTGGGGCGAAAGGCGTGCGCCACCACACCCGGCTTGTGTGGAGGAAGTGGAAGAGCGCTCTAGGTATCTATTGCAAAGGAAGTGTCTTTCCTCCTTTCGCCCTGTGTGTTTCAGAGAGCAGGAGAAAGGCTACCCAGTGCCTCATTGAAAACTCAATGAGAAAAATCGTGGTGTCCGCCCTTCATCCTCAGGGCTGCACTTCCAGCGCTCAGGAGTTGGTGTTTTGCACTCTTCCTGCCCTTTGCTTGCAGTCTTTTCCTATACAGGTCATGTCTTCAACTCTAGGTTCAGGTTCATTCTCCTTGTGTAATCCAGCGAATCAAACATTGTGTCTGTTATCTTGCTACCAACAAAATGGAGTCTGACTCCAAATGACAGATGACTTGCTACATGGGCATGGTGGCTCATGCCTGTATTCCCAGCACTCCAAGAGGCTGAGACAGGAGGATAGCAAGTTCTAGACCAGACCAGCCTTGGGCTACACAGTGAAACCTTGTTTCAAACAAGCAAACAAAAACTAAAGGAAAAAGGAAAAGATCACATCTGGTGTGGCTTTGTACATTTTGGCCAGTTCTCCCCAAATTTCATCCTTTGACTACTGCCTTCCAAATGTAAGGGACATCAGGGATCACTCATTGCCCTTGAAGTAGTTACATTATCAATGTGTCTTCTGGCAGCTAGAGAAGGAAACTACAATTGCTTTCTTCAGCGTTGTAAGGCGCCCACACTGAAGCAGTGTTGTGTGGTGCCCCAGGCCTCGCTCTGCAGATGAATGTGCAGTCTGGGACAGTCCACATTATGTGGACTTGGTTGTTTCTGCATTATATGGAACAACAAATGTTGTCGTCTTTGGGGGGATTGTGTTTGGTTTGGGGGTTTCTCGTTTTGGTTTTGTTTTGAGACAGGGTCTCACTGTGTATCCCTGGCTGGTCTGGAGCTTGCTATGTAGATCAAGCTGGCTTTGATCTCACAGAGCTCTGTCTGCCTCCCAAGTGCTAGATTAAAGGTGTGTGCCACTGTGCCTTGCTAAAAGGTTTGCTGCTGTTTTTTATTGTGTCAAATTAATAAAGCTGGAAGAGGGGATCAGAATAAATGTAAAACTGGCTAGATAGGGACAGGGGAGGAATGGGAACAAAGCCTGCATTTCCCTGCTACTTAGAGCCAGGTAGCACCTTCATCCCAGGGTGTGCATCATGGCTCCATGGCACAGTGCCAGGCACACTGCCAATAATTACTCTCTTGAGAAGAACAGCAGGTGTCTTAGAATAAAAGGCTCTGTTACATAAAAATCCTGGGCCATTCCTGGGCTTTTTATTGAGCCTGTGTTTGGAGTGACTGCCTGTATCACCCCAGTTAACATTGTGATCTAAGTCTTCACTTGCTATGGAAAAATAATGGGAACACTTATTCCTTGTATAACAGAGGTAGAAACCAGGGACAACACTACATCCAGATGCAGCTTCCCCAGAAGATTAATAAACACTGAAATATCTATACACATATACAGTGTAGAACACACAATTTATTGACTGCTTTTGATTTCTTTCTAGGCCTTCTGGTAGTAATGAGCAGTACTCAGAGGCAAAGGGTCATTAGTTCAAGATCAGTCTGGGGTATAGAGCGAGACCCAGCCTCAGAAACAAACAAATCAACAAATAAACCTTAGGGATATGACTCTGTGGTCGAGCACTTGCCTAGCATGATCAGGCTCTGAGTTCCACCCAAGGACTGGAGTGAGGATGGTTGCCAGAGACAGGAGACAAGCATCACTTCCTTTGTATAGAAAAGGGCAGGGCCCCCCTCAGAAAGCTTAGTCACATACACAAGGATATTCAGTGAGGAATTAAGACTCAAAAGGCTAAGAGAGCAATCTCAGCTCTAGAGTAATTGCATGGAAGTTAACTCTGGTTTTTGTTTGTTTTACTTACTTTTTTATGACTTTTCTATTTTTAATTTTTTTTAACTTTATATGTATGATTTTTTTTTTTTTTTTAGGTTTTTTTGAGACAGGATCTCCCTGTAGCCCCAGCTGGCCTGGAACTCACTATGTAGACTAGGCTGGCCTTGAGTGCACAGAGATCCATCTGCCTCTACCTCTGCCCCAGTGCCAGGATTAAAGGCATGAGCCACCATCCAGTTTATGTGTGAATGTTTTGCCTGCATATAAATGCACCTGTGTCATGCAGTGTCCACAGAGGGCAGAAAAGGGCATCAGATCCCCTGGAACTGGAGTTATAAACAGTTGTAAGCCACCATGTGGGTACTCAGAACCGATCCCAGGTCCTTTGGAAGAGCAGTAACTGCTCTGAACCACTGAGCCATCTCCCCAGCCCCTTTGTGACTCTTTCTAAATAGAAAATATCTCTGCAACTATTATCCCATCCTCCCAGAAACAAAGGTAAGGGCCATCGCCAGTTGTGAATAAGGGATAAGAAACCCTAGTTTAGCCGGGCGTGGTGGCATACACCTGTAGTCCCAGCACTCAGGAGGCAGAGGCAGGCAGATCTCTGTGAGTTCAAGGCCAGCCTGATCTACATGGTGAGTTCCAGGCCAGCTGGGGCTACAGGGAGACCCTGTCTCAAAAAGACCAATAATAATAATAATAATAAATGCTAGTTTAATCAAACTCACTAATTATAAATATTAGATATAGCTAGATTTTATTTAAGAAGGACTAGAAAGTATAGCTTAGTGGTAGAGGACATTCCAGTGTGTCTAGACCCCTCAGTTCCATCTGAGCACCACACACAAGACCTTCCACTACATAAAAATCCTAGTTTCTAATTTACGAGAAATATTAGGAGGTGGCCTTTAGGCAATAGATTGTTCATTTTTCAGAAGGATATTCCACGAAGCCTTCTTCAAAATAGGGACTGTTTCTAATGTATTGCAGTTGACCAAGAAAACATACAAGCTATCAAATCTTTAGTGACAATAATTTTAAAACCCTATTTTAAGGTATGGCTAATCTACCAAGATTTGTTTTTACTTATTTCTCAGAAAAAGGAGGATTAAAAAACAATCATCCTTTGTTATAGGCATAACATACCAATGATACTTCATATAGTTTCATAATTTTCATAAAATTAAGACTGCTGAAGAATATCTGGGGTCTATGGTTGGTGCAGAGGTCTTCATTTGGGGGCTTCCCATCTCAACATCTGTCCATTTCCCATCTCATATGACGCTTTCCAATTTTGGGATGTTAATTTCTGAGTCAGTTCTGCCCCATTATAGACAATCATTGTCAAGCAGCCAACAACAGGTGGCAGGGATGTTAAGCTAAACACGAGCTAACTTATAAAATGAGGGTAATTAATACATGATCATCACATGTGCAGACCACTGTGCGCTTTCCACCCTATTATTGATTCCAAAGATATAAGAACAAAATTAACCATCCAGCCTACCTGGCCCGGGTGGAAAACGAATCTGTGAGGCAGAGATAATTGAACAGAACTGCAAAAGGAAAAGCAACCAGTTGATAAAGTGATACAGGATGGAGGGAGACCAGCTGAAGCCAATCCATTGGCACAGGAACAAAGATGCTGTCTGTGGAGAGTTCCTAACTGGTACCCTCCTGCAGAAGTCACAACCAGATTCTTGTTGGTCTTTTTATGTAGTGTAGGAAGGCCCAGGTGAGCAAATGTGCTGGAAAGCACTAGAGATCAGCAGCATCAAAGCCAGCTTCCAATAAAGGGAACCTTGCTATGGAAACCAAAGCACATTTTGGCATCCCCTCACTTCACAGTATTTGCTGAAAACAGCTGTCAGAGGCTGTGCTTCGCAGCTTACACAGCACGTTATTTGCCTTTCCAGTCATCACATTGTCATATTTTCTTCACTAGGTTAATGAAAAATCTACCTGAGGACAGACAGCTCGTGGATTGGGGTCAACAAGAACAGAGCAGGAAGGCAGCAGGCAGGATCCCAAGACACACAAGATACTTTCCAGGACTGAGAGATGGCTCAGCAGGGGCGAACACTGGTTGTTCTTGCAGAAGACCTGGGTTCAAATCCCAGCACCCACATGGCAGCTAATAACTGTCCCTAACTCCATTTCCAGGGGATCCAACAGCCTCTTCTGTCTCTTCTGCCTTCCACAGGCATTGCACAACATGGGTACACTTACCTACATGTAGGCAATACATACATACACATAAATTAAAAATAATAAAATATTTTTTAAAAAGATACTTTCCTCAACTATTGCGCTTATACTACTTTCTTCCCACAGAAGCACCCCACCTTTCCTCTTTTCTTTCTTTTTTTGTTAGACAGAGTCACTATTTAGCCCTGTCTGGCTTGAAACTTGATATGTAGACTAGGCTGGCCTGGATCTCACTAAGATCAACCTGCCTCTGCCTCCCGAGTGTTGGGATAAAGGTGTGTGCCACCACGCTCAGCTATATACCTACTTCTTTAACAATTTTTTATATGTATGTTTGGTCTACATGTAAGTGCACTCATGTCCTGCAATGCCCCTGGATGCCAGAAGAAGATGTTGGATCCCCTGTAACTGGAGTTACAGACAGTTGTTAGCTGCCATGTGGGTGCTAGGAACCAAACCTGGGTCCTCTGCAAGAGCAGCCAGTGCTTTTAACTGCTGAGCCATCACCCCAGCCCCTGCACCTACTTCTTGATTACTTTATTTCCTGCCCTTTATAAACAAAATGAGAGCTCTACAAGGGAAAAAATTATTTGGCTTGTTGCTAGAGCCCCAGCACACAGTACACACACGGTACTCAGTGATATTTGTTGAAGTTAAACAGGTTTGAGGGAGCGCAAGAGTGGAGAGGAAACATTTAAGGAGAGTCTTCATTGAGGGATGAGCAGTTAATCCAAAAATGACTTCCTAAAAGCAAGGAAAGAATGAAAAGCCATCTGAACTAGTGGAGAGCCACCTGCTCAGCCCAGGACACTGCAAGGCTGTCCCTAACCAGTGAGTTTCAACACATTTTTTAAGTGAGTTATCGACCATGAATCGGGAATTCTGGTTGGAATCAGGAATGGAAAGAAAAACATGCATGGTCCTACCCTCCTGGATCTCAGCTTTGGGGGAGACAGTAAAATAAGCTCAGCTTGATGAATGCTATTCCTACCTTATGGAGAAAATGATCAGAATAAAAGAAATACCTGTGTTTATTACATGGTGCTATGGTCTGAACATCTTTGTCTCTTCAAAAATTACCCTCAAGGTAATGGTATAAGGGCTGGGGCCTTTGGGAAGTGATTAGGTCATAAAAGTTCTGCCCTCATTTGTATGATTAGTCATCTTATTGGAGGGCTCAGTGGAACTTATTTGCCCCTTCCCACATGAGGATGCAGCAAGAGGCACCAGATGTGAGGAATAGGCCCTCACTAGAGTCTATAATGCCCAATTTCCAACTTCCCAGCCTCTAGAACTGCAGTGTAAGTGCACTGGTCCATGCAATGCCAGTATAGGCCAGAAGAGGGCAGAAGAGGGTGTCAGAGCCCCTGGAACTGGAGTTACAGACTATTAGCTGCCATGTGGGCTCTGCAATAGCAGCCAGTGCTCTTAACTGCTAAGCCATCTCTCCAGCCTGTTTTTTTACTTCTTAACTGTGAAATATGAAGACCCTAACAGTATCCTAGTTTTCCCTTCCTGGCTATTTTATCCACCTCAATTTTTTTTTTTCTTTTCAAAATCAGTCTAATGTTAAATCCTTATCTATACCTATCCTTTGCCCTCCTAATCTTATTAACTGAAATCTGAGTATACTCCATACTATCTTTAGTTGTTTATCTTCCCACAGTTATTGAAGTCAAAGGAGCCACTGTCATTCATTGGTTAGTAGAGCATTTGCATAGTGGTAATATCCAGCTGCTCTAGCTGTTCTCTCAGTTAATAGTCTACCCAGGGAATAATAGAGAGCTTACACCAGGCACTCTGGACTCCTGGCCTGAAGAACTGTTTTGTGAACTACACATACAACTCTACCACATCCAAGTCCCACTTGAACATTACAAATACTTCAAGTGAAAGAATATAGTTGATAAATAAAAGTAAAACAAGAAATAAAATAACAGCAGATGCATAAATCCCAATGCAGTAACATAAGAAACTGGGAAACCAAGACAGCACAGCTCCTCCAAGAATTGCTAAGCCTACAGTGACAGCATCTAGTGAGTGAAATGCCATCTCACGAAGAACTCAAAATAACAGTTGTGAGTATGTTCAAAGACACAAACAGCTGTATGAAATAAGAAAGGCAATAGATGATGCCAAGGGGAAATTCAACAAAGAGAAATACTGAGGAAAAAAACCCCAAAATACTGGATATAAAAAAGCATAGTAAGTCAAATAAAAAATGCAAACTGTCAGCAATAGAATGGATCAAGGAGAGGTCAGAATATCTGAGCTTGAAGACAAGGTGGAGTAACTGCAACACTCCAACACAGATAAAGATAAAATAGTAAGAAATTCCAAGATATACTCAATACTTTGAAAAGACCATATTTATGAGTTATAGGCATAGAAGAAGGGGAAGAATCTCATTCTAAAGGCATAGAAAACATTTTCAAAAGCATCGTAACAAACCTTCCCAGAGTTAGGAGAAGAGATTGCCAGTCCAGATATAGGTGGCATTTAGGACCCCATACAGACATGACCAGAAAAGAACATCCCCTGTCATATAATTAAAATACTAAAATATGCAAAACAAAGAAAGTCTATTGAAAGCAGCAAGAGAGAAACACCAAGTCATACATAAAGGCAGGCTCATCAGAGTAGCAGCTGATTATTCAACGGAAACTTGAAAAGCCAGAAGGACTTGGAATGATGTATTTCAAGTTCTGAAAGATAACAACTGCCAACCCAGCAGACTATATCCAGTAAAGCTATCTGTCATAATTAAAGGAAAAATAAAAACTTTCCATGACAAAAATAAATGAACGTATGACCATTAAGCCAGCTCTAAAGAAGACATCCATAGCTGGGCATGGTGGCCTTTAATCCTATCACTTGGGAGGCAGACACAGGCAGACGTCTGTGAGTTTGAGGCCAGCCTGGTATACATAGTGAGTTCCAGGTCAGCCAGGGCTACACAGTGAGACCCTGTCTCAAAAAAGAAAAGAAAAGAAAAAGGCACTCAAGGAAATCCTTTAGACTAAAGGCAATAACAAATCCAGCTAAAAGACCAAAGGAAAGAATAAACCATACTTGAATAATAGTTAAGCAAGAGAGGAAGAGGAACTAATACTACAGAATCAATAAAATGACAGGATTCAATACATAACTCCCAAAGTAACAAAGGTTCCACCTCCCTGGGCTGGGGTTATGAATATGCTTTGCCCTGCCCAGTATTATGTGGCACTGGGGCTTGAACCTAGGGCTTCATGCATGTGATGCAAGCACCCTACCAACTGAGCTACATCGCCAGCCCCTATTAAGTCATTTCTTACTATGATTAAAGTCCACTAATCAGTCTTAAGGCACAGATTATTGAGTCGGGAGTGGTGGCACACGCCTTTAATCACAGCACTTGGGAGGCAGAAGTAGGCAGATCTCTGTAAAATCGAGGCCATCCAGGTTGAGTTCCAGGTGAGCGAGGGCTACAAAGTGAGACCCTATCTCAAAAAACATAAAATGAGCAAGAAACAAATTATTTCCAATAATTTGGGTGGGCCTGATTGAATCAATTGAAAGACTTTAAGGGTAAAGAGCCAGAATGCTCTGACTCCATTTTTGGCTAGCTTCTTCAGACAAGCCCACCCCCATCCTAAGAAGCTATAGATCAAACAAGCCTGGGTATATAACAGCCTTATAAGGTAAAAAAGGAAACTCCTGGCCTCACCGATAATGGTCAACACATTCCAATGCCCTGAAGACAGCCCCTACCAATCAAGACTTCCCCTGTAATTGGGATATGGGTACATCCAATCATTTTAAAAGATGCTTGGCAAGAGTGGGTTTCTGTGGAGTTCCCCAATAAAAGCCCCTGCCTGCAATTGTTCGGGCCCAGACTCCATCTTTGGCTCATGCAGTCTGTACCCAGCTAGCCGCCATTTGGTTGTTTTTACTTTTAAATTCCTGAATAAACTCTTTGTATGATCTTTTTGGTATCTGTGGGAATTATTCTCGATTATTGAACCCTAACAAAGGGCAGAACTGAGGCGTCTCTGAAGAAAGAAGTTCCCCTCATGGACTGTATCTTCCCCTTCTGCTCGAGAGTCCCCACTTGGTCTACACATTTTGTACTTGTGTAACAGGTTCCTAACAACCATGGAAAGCAATTCCTTGCAATAAATCCTTTGATGCATATCTCCTGCTGGTTCTGTTTCTCTGGGCCACCCCAAATAAGTGACATCTAGGACTTAAAGGAAGGTGTCAGGGGTGTGAGAAAGTAGTTGCATATGGGGAGTCAGTTTGGCTTCTTGAAGGCATGATTGAGCAGAGAGAGGAGTGAACTGGCTCAGCAAACTTCCCTAAGTTACTCCATTTTGTTCAGAGCCATTTCAGTAGCAACTTTGCTCTACACCAAAAGGAAAAGGGGGCCAACCTTAGGTCTTGGAAAATTGTCCTAGCCATGAATCATGGAATGTGCTAATTCCAGACATTATACATCTGACTAACCAGCTTGTTTTCACTTCTGTAATCCATGTGCTATCTTGGGTCACCTTGACACAGGGCATAAGACCACCCTTGTTATCCTGTTATTGTATGACCACCTAGAAGTCATTTACCTTGACTGTCTTATTATACTTATTATGGCTAAAACAGTTGGCTAGTTTTAAGGTCACAAAGTTGATTGCCAAGTTATATGACTGTATCACTTGTCTGATAATGATTGGTTGTTGATTAATAGAGTCAAAATTCTGCTATGGTGTACAAACCTGATTGGTTCACAAGTGTCCTATTTTAATAATAATTCTATAATCCTATAAAAACTCTGACCTGACAATCATCAGGGCTGCTTCTACTCCTGAGATAGACAGGCCTGCTGGTCGAAAATTAAAATTTACCTTGCTACTTTTCTTAAAGTGGTGTTGGTGATTTTTTTTATGAATTCTGTCCTATAACAAGGAGCATGAGAGCTCTCTCTCTCTCTCTCCACACCAAACACATATACATATAGACATAAATGGAACAAGTGAAACAACTGGATTTGATATTCAAGGAGATTCTGACAAAAGGCCTTGGATAGGACTGGGTAAGCATAGGGAAGGTGACTCTAGAGGTTAAAGGTGGAGCAAGCTGAGGAAAGACAGGGTAGGTTGGGGGGGTGGAGATTAGGTTGGTGGTGCAAGCACTGCAAACTGGAAGGTCGAGTCCCAGAAGTCAGACCAGCAGGACCTGTGGGTGACTTTCATCTGCAGGAGGAATACCAAGGCTGGCTCCCAAACCTTGGAGCACCTGACTGGAGTGGCTTCCTCTACGGAGATGGAGGGCCTGGAGCTCATCAGATCCCTGTTCTGGGCCTTTTAGACTTGATAAGACTTGGAGGCATTAAAACCGGGTTGTAATCAATCAGGGACCAGGTAGGCCGAGGATTTCTAACACAGGTAGAACACCCAGTGAGGTCAGAGGAACAAATGCAGGGCGAGATCGCCAACATCGAGAGGAGTGGGTAAAATGAGGTCATAATGACACGCAAAGGAATAGAACAAACTGCTTTTAAATCCGAGTCCAGAATTTTGGACCAGGCTACAACACAGCAAACCGCCCACACTATGCAGCTGCAGAGCCTACAAGGCAAAAGGCCCTGCCTAGGTTCCGCCCCCGACCCGGCCGTGCCAGGCTCCGCCGTTGCGCGTCGAGATCATCGCTCTAGCCAGGATTCGGTGTCGATCTCGGCTCCCATTGGAGACCCGGGCCTGACGATGGCGGAGAAGACTCAGAAGAGGTGCGTGTATTGCTTGACCGTAGCCTGCTCCCCACTCTCCTCGGGCGGAAGCTGCTCCTGGGCAGTGGTGGGGACAAGGCGCTATCTACGTGGATGGTTCAGGAGCCCCACACCTGGCCTCGAACGAGGGGGTGGCGACCCGGTGGGGATGTGGAGGGTCCGATTCGCCCACTCCCTTCAATGCGCCTGCGCAGAAGGGCTCTCGGCCGGACTGAGGGGAGAGGGTACACGGCGGTACCCTGAGTTGCTCTTGTCACAGCGTGGGAGAGCCTGGGCTAGACCTGGCGCTCGTTCTGCGCGGCTGGGTCGAGCGCCTGCCCAACACCGGGGCCAGGGGCTATGGCTGCTCCTTTCCCAATCTTCACTGATGGGGACAGACAGCCATACCCAGAGCCATTTGTTCCAGCCGGGTGCGAGCACCCTCTGCTGACTTTAAAAGGAAGAGACTTTTGTTCTGGTGTTGTTTTGTTTTGTTAGGGGGCGGGAGGCGGGAGGGCGTGTCACAGTGTAACCCTGGAGCTCACAGTGTAGACCTCACTGGCCTCGAGCTCACAATCACCTTCCTCTGCCTCATACGTGCTGGGATTAAAGGCGAGTGCCTGCCCTAAATTTATTCTATTGTTTTGAAAAATGGGTTTGTGGGTGTATGTGCATGTGAGTTCTGGTGCCCCCTGAGGCCAGAAGAGGGCATCAGAGCCCCTGGAGCTGGAGTTCCAGGCACATGATGTGGGTGCTGGGACCTGAACTGGAGTCCTCTGCAAGAGCACTAAGTGCTCTAAGCTACTAAGGCATCTCTCCAGCCCCTCTGCTGACTTTTTTAAACTTCTGTTATTTTTACGTATGGATACTATAAACTAAAATTTGGGTTTTTCTTCTGTTTAAGCAGGTAATGTGCATTCTTTTTTCATAAACTACAAGAAGCAGATCTACTATCAGTATTGTTTCCACTTCAGCAAATGTACACAGCCTTCGGTGAAGATGAGGGTGCGCTTGACTTTGTATTTGCCAGGCTGCTGTTCTTCTCCCAGCTGCCTGCCCCCCACCCCAGCCATTGTGAGGTGCAGTGGGGTCCAGGGAGAGATGTTGGGAACCACATCTTAATTAATCTAGTAGTAAATTATTTAATAATGGTATCCTGCCCCCTGAGAAGTGTGTCGATTATGACATAAACAGCCCCTGGTATCTCTCATCATCAAATTGAAACACCCTTTGACTCCCACAAACAGCCGCATGCCTTCACACAGTTCTCATCCAGAGTGAAGTGGTGATAGATGTTGTGTGAAGTGTAATCACGTCCCTCTTCTCCATGGAAATCCGAACCCCCCTGTCCTCCTTGTCCCTGATATCGTGATGATGTCCATTCAGGAGCTTCTCTCTCTCTGGATCTTTTCCAGTTCTGGATCATTCTTACACTTATCAACAACCTGCTTCCAGTAGAGCACCGGGAGCATGCGCCATGTACCAGGTCCGTGTGGGCTGCCTGTTCCTGTGGGCTGCCTGTTTTTTTTTGTTTGTTTGTTTGGATTTTTTTTCGGTTTTTTGAGACAGCGTTTCCCAGTAGCCCCAGCTGGCCTCTGGAACTCACTATGTAGACCAGGCTGGCCTCAAACTCACAGAGATCCTCCTGCCTCTGCCTCCAGAGTGCTGGGATTGAAGGTGTGGCCACCATGCCTGGCTTGAAAACACACTTTTTGTAAAAAAAAAAAATTTAATTTTATGTGTATGAGTGTATTGCTTGCATGTGTGGAAGTGTATCCATATCGTGTAATGTCAGTGGAGGTTAAAAGAAGGCATTGGATCCCCTGGAACCGGAGTTAGAGATGGTTGTTGGCCACGATGTGGGTACTGGGAATCAAACGTGGATCCTCTGAAGAAGCCAGTGCTCTTAACCACTGAGCCATCTCTACAGCCCCCAGAAGGGACTTTTGAGTCTCTCCTGTCCTCAGCTGGCCCAGCTGTTAGGGTTAAATAAGGCTTTCTTCTGTAGCAAGTGGCAACAGGAAATAAGGTGTAAAACGAGAGAGTTTATAAAGGCTCATTTATTTGGCCAAGAACTTTAAAAAATTGCATTTTTTTTGGCTTTTTAATTTTTATTTTATGTGTGTGAGTGGTGTGCCTGCATGTATATAAGTGCACCTGTGTCGTGCAATGTCTGAGGCTAGAAGAGGGCATCACATCTCCTGGAACTGGAGTTACAGTTGTTAGATGCCATGTGGGTGCTGGGATTTGAACTTAGGTCTTCTGCAAGAGTAGTCAGTGCCTTTAACTGCTGAACCCCAGAATTGCATATTTTAACTCAAAACCCACTTTAAATAAAAAAATCTGAAATTGAGATATGGGACTTAAAAATAATGAGCCATTCAAAGACAGTGTCCTTCAGTTTTCACAGGAAAAAGATCTAGAGAGGCAGGATGTTTCTAGGCAATCTTCAACTAACTTAACAGAGTACTGATGTCAGAACACTGATACCTCAGGACTGAACTGAACATCCAGAAATTTGTAGTCTGCCTTTCCATTTCCTCCCTTATAATATAAGAGGGCCAATGTCCTGGTTAATATTTATTGTCAACCTGAAACAACCTAGTGTCTGTCCCCTGGGAAGAAGGAACCTCAACTGAAGAATTTCCCAGATCAGAGTAGCCTGTGGCCATGCCTGAGAGGTGTTGTCTTGACTGAGGATTGATGTAGGAGGGCCCAGCCCACCGTGGGAGGTGCCATCTCTAGGCAGGTGAGCCTGGGCTGTGTAGGAGCTGGAACACAGGCCATGGAGGAACTCTGCTTACTGGCTTGCTCTCCTGGCCCCTGCACAGCCTGCTTTTGTATGCAACACAGGCCAACTGCCCAGGGGTTTCACCACCCACAGTGGGCTGGACCCTTCCACATCATAGAATCAAAAAGATACCCCACAGACATGGCCACAGGCCAGTTCAGTGGAGGCAATTCCCCAGTTGAGTCTTCTTCAACCCAAGTGTGTCAAGTTGACACTAAAGCTATCCAGCACAGTTACTCTGTTCCACCTTACCAAAGTTTTCCTTCTCAAACTCAGTAGGAGTGTTACATATTTTCCATGATTTCAACAAATTAGCTCTTCAGTAAGACACCCAGTAACCCAGAAGGATCACTGGTAGGATTTCATGAGTTTATTCCTTATACAAAGTCAGGGCTGACTTAGAAACATGTGGGTGTAGCTAATGTCACTTATCACCTCTTGAAGGTAGATACAGAGCTGCTGCTTTTTTTTTTTTTTTTTTTTTCTGACAGGGTCTCCCTAGTCCCAGCCTGCCTGGAACTCACTATGGAGACCTGGATCTCACGGACATCTACCTGCCTCTGCCTCCCTGGGACTGGGATTAAAAGCACGTGCCACATGTTTGTTTGGGGGTTTTACGTTGTTGTTTTGAGTTGGGGGGGCTGTTTTGTAGACAGGATCTCACTGACTAGTAATCCTGGTTAGCTAGTAGCGTAGAGATCTGCCTGCCTCTGCCTCCCCCATGCTGTATCACAGGTGTGCAGCACCACCCTGGGCCCTGGTTAGTTTTCTTGAGACAGGACTTGCTATATAGCCCATGTTAGCCTTGAACTTGTGGCAATCCTCCTCCCTTAGCTGGAAGTACAGGTGTGTACCACTATGCCTGACTGATACATGTTTATTATAGTCTTTAAAATATGTTGTCATAGGAAGATTTGCCCACTGAAATTTGTGGAAGAAAATTTGTGTATATTTTTAATTTTTTTTTACATTCCTTATATCTGTAGGGAAGTTGGTGCAGTTTTTAAAAATAAACACTTAAGAGTGTCATTTCTGCATTTTTATTAGGGAACACTTGGGGAGATCCTGGAATACAAATTACGGAGACATGCTAAAGTCTTCTGACTTCCCAAGGTGCATATTTTGGGCTCTTTTTATAAGTTCCATATGAATACTTTCAGTTGCTTATTTGAGTTTATCTCCTGGATATTCCACACATACCTCAGTCTGCATTTATCTAGAATTGAACAGAATACCTTCCCCGAAATCTGCCCTCCCTCGTAGGCTGTTCCTCAGATGGTGCCGTTAGGCTTTGAAATCAGAAACCCAGAAGCTTTGATCTTGCTCCCTGGCTGGGGTTTCTGGCAGTTAAGGAGCTGAAGCAGAGCAGCTGAATTTTAGCCCTGGGATGCAGGCTCACCCTCCACTTGCGATCATGGCCTCCCAGGAAGAGAGCAGTAGGGTCGACCAGCTTCCTCATTTCACTCCATGCCGCTCACCCTCACACTTCTGTGGTCAAACCTATTTCCTCTGTTCCAAGAAGAAAGTAGATTCCTACTTTTTGGTCCATTGGAGCGTTACAAGGAGTGGAAAGTACCCACCTTCAGCTTTGCCTAGCAGCCAGATTCTATCATGGTAGTGTGTGTTGCCACTCTGTGTTGTTTCTTCCACATACCCGCAGCTTCCTTCTCTGACCACCTCTCGGATCTGGGCTAGCCCTGTAGGATTAGGATAGTCGCCTCCCTCCAGCCTGCCCCCCACTAGCAACACCAGGTAGTTCATCCGAGGAACTGGGCCTCCACAGACAGTTTGGTGGTCGTTGGCCTGAGAGTGAGAACGCTTCTGTGATATCTTGCCCACAAGTGCAGATTGAAGTCCCTGTTCATAGTTCACTCGTAGGCAGGCCCTGCTCCCCTCCTCCCAGCCATGCCCACCCTCTCTGTCTTCCCCAGCTCTGGTCTGTTCACTGATTCAGTCTTCAACCTGGGAGAGGAGAAAAGTTTTATTTTGTGACTTGTTACTCATTGCCTAGATGAATGCAAATGGTACTTCAAATTGAGAAGATTGTGTTTTAATATTTTCACATGAGGGGCTGGGGAGGCTCAGTTGGAGGAGTGCTTGCCAAGCATGCCCAAAGTCCTGGAATTGATCCCTGGTGCTGCATAAACCAGGCATGGGGTCACACACCTGTGATCCCCAGAGATCCTCTGTCCCAGAGTGAGTATGAAGTCAGCCTGGAGTACATGAGAGC